CTGTAGTAATACCAGGGAGCTCTGTGTGGTCAGGGGATTTTTCAAGGCTTTGACTGAAGACTTTGAATTCTGACATTGCTACATACTACTATGTAGAAGGAGCCTAAGCATCAGATTCCTGAAGAATAATCATTGTTAGTCATATTTCTGTAGCAAAGAGTAAAAATCAAGGGTTTACAAAGGGGTACATAGTTTGGAAAACATGGGGATCTTTGTTTAACCTCTAGCTTCCAAGTCTGTTCTCATGTTTTTAGAAAACATACACTTCCAATCCTTCTTGTGAACTTTCTGACAAGACAGGCCTGATTCTCTCTCTCCCCCCCCCCCCCCCCCCCCCCACATCCCACTAGCTATTCCAAATCAGGTAACATTTCCTGGTTGGTTTTTTAATCTTACTGTGCTTGCATATTCATGGCAAAACTATAAAATAAAAATTAAATCAATATTTTTAAATAGTTTTTAAAATCATTTTTGCTAATCGACACTGACTGTGGTAATGCTGGAATTGAATTGGAGAGACTTATCACACCCAGGGAGGAGTTTTTACAAGCTGTGCAGTTGTGTGAAAGGAGAGAATTGTGAAAAGAAGTATTTTCAAAGTGGTATGTGCTTGTTTCTGTTCCTAATGTGATTGCTGAAAGACATAAGGCTGGTGTGATAATGGGATTCTGTTCCCTGCTAAAGTTACCTATTTCATCCAAATCCTATTTTATTTCCATGCCATATAGATCACGGGTAGGAAACCTGTTACCATCCACACAGTTTGAATGACCACTCCCATTAATCCTGATCATTGGCAGTGAAGGCTGCGGCCGATGGGAGTTGTAGTCCCAAACACCTGCAGGGAGCTGCAGGGAGCCTACAACTGCCTTGTATATTCCTAGGTATGCACTCACCACATCATGATCTGGAATATCTTTAGTGAAGGTCCCAGGTGGTATATGATGAGGAAGGTAAATATTAAGCCAGACATAATGAAGCTCATGGTCCTCAAGAGTACCTTGAACAAACAGCGTTCCATGTCTGCTTGCCTGATTTCTTCTTTTACTGCCTCGGCATGAAAAAAATCAGACAATCATTGAAGTTATTACGAGAAGAGGACATAAGAGAGTCTCAGTCATTGTAATCCAGAAGAACTCTTCCTATGCTTCTCTGCTCTTTGCAGAAATAGGTGCCACACATGGCAGAAGAAGGGCTGATCTCTTCAGAGAACTGCTGGCCAGTGGGTCACTAGATTTCAGCCCAATGGATCCTCTCATAGGACAAAGGATTGTGCATTAAAAATGGACAGCATCATCAACAACATTTTAAAGTGGCCATAATCAACAACATTTTAAAAACAATACAGATTAAAAACACTACAAAAGTTAAATAAAAATATAAAATACACAATTATATATTAAAACAATTAAAAATATTAAAATGCATTAAAAAAATTAAAATAAAAAAACTATATGTTGTTGTTGTTGTTAACTGCCCTCAAGTCAGTCTCGACTTATGGCGCCACTGTGGATAAGATATCTCCAACACTCCTCATCCTCTACTACTCTGCTTAGGTCCTGTAAATTCATATATACATGTAACCTCCTTAATGGAGGCCGATTGCTTGACAGAGGGGCAGGATATAAATAAAACATTATTATTATTATTATTATTATTATTATCCATCTAGCATGCAGCCTTCCTCTATTTCTACAGCCCTCCACCTTTCGCAGCATTATTGTCTTTTCTAATGTGTTATGCCTTTTCATGACGTGGCCAAAGTACTACAGCCTCAGTTTGATCATCTTGGCTTTCCAGGATAAAAACTATATGCAGATTCTTTAAAAACTCCAAAATCAGCTCCACACAGTATTAAGAACCCAGCCGTAACAGTTTGTAAAGACCTGGCAGCACAAAATTGTTTTAACCTGCCACTGGAAGGAGCAAGAACAGGACATTCTGGGAAGGGACTTCCAAAATCTGGGAGCAGCCACCAAGAAGGCCCTCTTCCTTGTTCCTTCCCATCAAACAAGCCTAAAAGGTGGTGAAATAGATAGAAGGGCCTCTCCAGATGATCTTAAAATCCTAATGGGCTTGTACAGTATAGGGACTCAAGGTGACCTTAAAAACTTTAGGATTACATACTGTAAATGTGAGTTCAAAATAGCAAGCAAAGAGCTATTCTGTTTCCTCTTGGACAAGAGTTGCTTTTTAAAAGTCATAGATGCAAGTAAACTAATGGAAATGTTAAAGGATCTTATTGAGGAAGGATAAGATGATTAAAAGATAGGATGTATGGAAATAAATATGGAAATTATAAGATACGAATAATGAGCTGGTGAAAGTGAACTGAGGTTTAATAATGATGATAGAAATGAAAAATATGTATGACTTAAGACTATGTACAATGGTATTTGTTATCAAAGGAACTTTACGGAAGTCTAATAATGTAGTTTAGGAAATTATGGATGTATTTAGCTTATGTGTGAAAGCTTTTTTTTTTTAGAAGTGTAAATAATGATAAATAAAATTATTTTTTAAAAGGTCATAGATGTAATTCCAAGGCCTGAAATGGTAGTTAGATCCAGCTGTAGTTCCATTTTTAACTACCAGTTTCTCAAAAGTTGCTACATTAGAAACATTAGCTAATTTTAATTGCTTTTTTATTTAAAACATCGCAAACTGCTGGATTGTGGCACAAAGTACGCTTTCCTCCACTCTGCCTTGTTGTCATCTCAACAACACAACATCACAGATCAGCACATGAATCATATGACATTCCTCGTCCACTATTTTGGAGACCATGGCCCCATAGTGGAAAACAGAACCAAAATTTTACCCTACAAAAAGGAATCACATTTTCTCTCATTCAGTTACAATTGGAACATAGTGTATTTGTGTGTGTGCAAGAGAGAGCCTTCAACTTACCTATTGACTTATGGTGATCCCATTAATTTCATAGGGCCATCTTAGACAGGGATACTCAGGCTACATTCGCACTGCAGAAATAATCCATGTTGACACCACTTTAAGTGCCATGATTCAAGGCTATGGAATTCTAGGATTTGCAATTCTGTGAGATATTTCGCCTTCTCTGTCAAAGAGCTCTGGTGCTACAACAAACTACAATTCCAGGAGCCATGGCAGTTAAACTGGTGTCAACTTGGATTACTTCCGCAGTGCAGATGCAGCCTCAGAGTTGGTTTTAGCAGTTTGTTCCTCTGAAATATAGCCTGCAGCGCCGGGTATTTGTTGACAGTCTCCCATTCAAATACTGTCCAGGACTGACCCTGCTTAGCTTCCAAGAAGAGACAGGATCTGATGCCTTGAAGGTATCTAGCCCGTGATTACAATGCATTGTATTCATACATGACTAGAAAAAATAACATTACTAGGGTGGGGAAACTAATTACAAGTAACTACATGAGTAGAAAAAGTAATATGACTTTTAAAAAAGGAAGCCAATTATAAGCAACTACAGTAGTTGTTTGTACCTAGTTATCCCCCAGTTCTGTGTGTAGAGAAGTGAAAAGGAGGGCATCAGATATAGCATTCATGCGTATGACATATATTTTCAGGGCAAGAGTAGGAGCATATATGACTCAAAACAGCCACCTACCCACCCTTTTATTATTTCCCCAGCAACTTAGATCCTCATTTAGATTTTGATGCCTAGAAGCAGCTGAAGGATGTGAGATCAAAGTAGCAATTGGTTGTGAGATCAAAGTGGCAACACATTGCTCATTAATCTGGAATAGTTGTCGTTTCAATCATACCGTGTGTGGCTCCACTGCCTCGCCATAGTAAGGCCCAAACAAGCTTGCAAAGGAAGAGCAAGCTAGTTATTATTAACAACAACAACAACAAATATATATAAATGTCATAAAAAACCCAAATGGACCAAAACAAATAAAGAGTTAAAAATTAATTAAAATGCAAAATGTCAAACACTAAACCCTTATTTACAATTCCCAAAACTTGTTTTATTAAAATCCTTTAAAGCTCCCATTTTTAAACCATTTATTTGGAGGGATGACTGTTCAGCTAGCGGGTACATCTAAAAGCAGGACAGGCTGTCAAAAGTGTAAAAAAAAAATAAGTCCCAAATCAGAAGGGGCCAAAAATCCACTTGCAGAGTTTTTAGGGGTGGGTAGGTGGAAGTAAGGTTAAATAGTGTGGGGAGGGAGTTGTAGTTGTTGTGTGCCCTTCAACTCATTTCTGATTTCTTCAGAGGAGGTTTGCCACTGCCATCCTCTAAGGATGAGAGAGAGTGACTTATCCAAGGTCTCTTTACATGGCTGAGCTAGGATTTGAACCCTGGTCTCCAGAGTTGCTGTCCAACACTCAAACCACGCTGGTTCTTATGGGGAGGGGTGCTCAGCTGTGATATATTCAAAAGGTACTTTTGAAGACTTCTAGGGCTGCATCCACACTGCAGAAATAATCCAGTTGACACAACTTTAACTGTCATGGCTCAATGCTGTGGAATTCTGGAACTACAAACTACAGTTCCCAGAATTCCATAGCATTGAGCCATGACAGTTAAGGTGGTGTGAAACTGCATTATTTTTGCAGTGCAGATGCAGCCTAGAAGAAGTTTTTGCTTCTCTACCAAGAATGAATGCAGGTTGGAGGGGAACAGCTGTTCAACAGTGGATGGCTATCAGTTGAGAGTGCTTTGATTGTGAATTCCTGCATGGCAGAATGGGGTTGCACTAGATGGCCCTTGTTGTGTCTTCCAAATCTAGGATTCTATTTATGAGTCTAACTTCTCTAACCAGCCACTCAGTGTTTCGGATTACAGCTCCCATCCATCCCAGCCAGCGTGTCCAATTTTGGTTACTGGGAGTTCTAGTCCACAACACTTGTATACAATATTGATACACGTTGACTCATAGACAGTCATACAGCAGGGAAGGAGGCATGCATTTTGGGAATAGAGTACAACAGAGAGAGCTTAGAAAAAAATAGTTCCAAAAAATAATTTATTTCACCAGTAACTAAAATGTAACTGGAGAGCCAGAGTGGTGTTGTGATTTGAATGTTGGACTGTGACTGTGAAGACCAGAGTTCGATTCTCGGCTCGGCCATGAAACTCACTGGATGACTTTGGGCAAGTCACAAGCTCTCAGCCTCAGGGGAAGGCAAGGGCAAACCTCCTCGGAACAAATCTTGCCAAGAAAACTCCATGATAGGTTCACCTTAGTGTCACCATAAGTTGGAAATGACTTGAAGGCACACAACAACAACAGCATGTAACTGTATTCCCTTATGATTGCATCTTAACAGGAGATAATTTCACCATTTCCAGTGTAATGGAAACTATTATCTTTATAGTTATAAGGTCTTTGTGGCCTCACCACCTTTTTTGATTAGGCAGGAAATGGGAGAATTCTGAGTTTAAAAAAAGAAGCCCCAAAGTAACAAGCTTTTAGTTACTTTTGAATTATTAAGAAAATTAAAGCAGGGATGAGCAACATGCAGCCACCCTGCCTATATTTGTAGTCCCCAGAACCATGGTTAGCTTTTGCCCTTAAAAGAAAGAGAATTATAGTCCTGGAAGTACAATCCACTTTTAAAAGATACACATCCCGAATCATGGAGAAGATAAATGTGGATTGCCAATGTGATAACTGGAGAGTTCTCTTTATCTTTATCTCCTGTACCTTTAATGGTGCAGAAGAGGGAATTTCAGCACCTATTGCTTGTTACCTGGTTGCATGAGAAAACAACATCCGCTGAAATTACTACTACACAACCATTAAAGACACAGGAGCCCCCTCCAGTTTTCACTTTGGCAATCCTAGAAGACAAGCAAGTGATCCTAGCTGTGCACACAAAAATCTAACAGATCATGCCCCCCAGCTGTCTTACAGTTAGGCCTTGGTGCCCAACGTGCTCCTATGCATTTAAAATGTCCTGGCTTCTCTCTCCCCTTTCCCCCTTTGTCCTTGGCTTACGTCTTTTGCTGCAAACTAATTTCAAAGTGCAAAATTTGGTTGCATTCAGTTAATTCAACAGGAGGGAGCAGAGAGGATGGGGCACACATTTTCTTAAAAGATGTATTCAATAAAGCATAACCCCTAGGATAAACAAACTATCAAAATATAACCTGCATTGACAATTAGAGCCATTGAATTTGTTCACCTATTTTGGGGGCGAGCGCACAATGCAGTGCCCCTCACATTGTGCACTGCAACTCCTAGCATTCTTTACCTTGGCTCTACTGGTTAGGACTGATAGGAGCTGTAGTTCAACAACATCTGAAGAGCTGCATAATTCTCATCCCTGACCTATCTGACATAGTGCTAATTTGAGATAAAATGCAGGGTTGAATGATGGTGGCCCTCCCAATATTGCTGGATTGCAGTTTCCAAGGGATGATGGGAATTGCAGTCAATAAAATCAGGACTGCTACACATTGTACACTTCCTATGTAGCTATCATACTATCTAGACAGAGTAACAGTGTCTCTTACAATGCTTCTTCATAAGATACCTTAAGGAAAACAAAGTATGAATATGAAATTCAGTACACCTAGACTTAGCATACAAAGTTTTAAAATGGATATGTAACACCTTAAAAAAAAGAGAGAAAAAACAGAATAAGACTCTGATAACATTAGATTTCAAACAACCTACTGAGCTATGTCAAGTACTATTTCCACTGAAAACAGCGGAGAGATATATACTTACTCCTAAGTTAAGGCAGTGTCATTGTCATGATCAGAAAGCTGCTTAGCCAGAAAGACAATGCTTCATTTATAGGGTTATAGTTAATCAGGACTGCCTCTGTCTAATTAGGGATTAGCAGACATGCCAGTCTTGCCCAATTCAAGATATCATTACAACTGATTGATGGATTAAAATGTTTAACTTTATCTGTGAAGAAAACATACAAGGTAAGGAAAACTGCAAGAGTTGTCCATGTGGTCTGATTTTGATCTCTTCATGGTGATCTGACTCCACCCATCCCAGATAACATTTATAAAATTCTGGGTGATTCCTGATGGAAGGCTTTTAATGCTATCACTCAAAAGGGCATTCTCATCATATGAAATACAGCAGTCAGTTCATTCCTTTTATTTACAGAGAGTTACAATAATAGCAAATATATACATGTTTGTATGTGAGACTTTCTGGTAATGCCTAGGGAAACAATAAGATAAACAATAAGATGTATTCAATAAAGCATAACCCCTAGGATAAACAAACTATCAAAATATAACCTGCATTGACAATTAGAGCCATTGAATTTGTTCACCTATTTTGGGGGTGTAGATCTCCTCTGAGTGTATATCTTTGTGCATGCCTCTACAGTCATATTTCCTGTGGATATCACACTCATAATCCAATAGATTATGGGTCTACAGAGATTGTGAATGCTGACAGGTTTTATCAAAATCAGTGAGTTCATTTATTTATCTGATTTGTATTCTAAATCTCTCTAGACCAGTGGTTCCCAAACTTTGGTTCTCCAGATGTTTTGGACTTCAGCTCCCAGAATTCCTGACAAGCTATCTAGGGCTTCTGGGAGCTGAAGTCCAAAAGAAGGCCAAAGTTTGTGAATCACTGCCTAGATGAAGGCCCTGGCAAATGTGTTAGAAAAACACAAAATATGCAAAATGCTGCAAAGTGATATAACAGACAGCAAAAAGCTAATATAAGAAAATCTCAAAATTATTGACAGAAATATTGAATTAATCCATTTGCATCTCCATGATTTTGCAGTTTTATCTAAACCCCCTGCCACCACTTTCTAATCTTTTTTGCAGCCAAAGCAAACACAGCCAATACGCTGGCTTTATCTTATTGTTTTCCAAGGCATTACCAGAAAGTCTCACATTGTTTCATAGCTGCTGGGTCTTAATGATGCCAACAAGTTCCTATTCTTTTTGACACATGCATCTTGAATAAGCATCAGGTATAGATGCAGAAGAATCACTGTAGTGCAGTGGTTTCGGTGTTGGACTATCACTCTGGAGACCACAGTTCAGACCAGCACTCAGCCTTAGAGGAAACCAAGAGCCCAGAGGCGACTGAATATTTCACAAACTACTAATCCCACAAATCCATAACATTGAGCATGGCAATTAAAGTGGTGTCAAACTACATTAATTCTGCAGTGTAAATGCAAACTAGGGGAGGCATTTCAGTCATTTAGATAAAGAAGGAAAACAATTAGGTATTTGGAGGTGGAAAGTATTTGGAGCTGGAAGTTCTCGGTGGGATGTTTTGTGTAGGGTGTTTGGGCACATTTGTGTGTATTGGGGAACTTTAGGAACAATTTAAGGTGAATTTTAAAAACTAGGGTACTGGGAAGTACATGGGAATTTGAGGTCCTGGTACTGAGGGGTATGGGAAGAAGAGCATTCCTTCACATCCAGGGCCTTTGGTTCCAAAAAACAGCAGTCCTAGACCTTCACAATGAAATTATGATCAGCATATCTTTACATCTAGAAACAACTAAAACAAGAAAAACCAAACCTTAAAGATTATAGATGTGTTTGTCCCTGTTGAACCCAGATGTGATGAATCCCTTGATGAATTTCTGGCCAGCTGTTTTCTATTGACAGAGCCCATATTTTATGCAAAACTGGATAAAGAGGCCCATCTCACAACACAAAAGCAGTGGAATACAAAAGTAATATTAGAAATGAGAACAGTGGATGATTAGAGGGGCAAAGACAGCAGTGTCCCAAGATAATCTTTCTCATCTGGGGTTTTGTGAGCTTTTTAGTCTTCTCTGTCAGAAAGCTCTGGTGCCAAAACAAATTACAAATCCTAAAATCCCATAGCATTGAATCATGGCAGGTAAAATAATGCCAAACTGCAGTATTTCTGCAATGCAGATGCAGCCCAGGTTCTGATATAATTTGTTGTTGCTGTTAACTGCCTTCGAGTAGATCTCAACTCATGGCAGCTCTATATATGAGACATCTCCAAGACCCTCTGTCCTCCATTGCTCTGCTTAATTCCTGCAACCCCTTAATACCTGTGACCTCCTTAATAAAGTCCATCCATCTGGCATGTGGCCTTCCTCTCTTCCTACCTCCCTCCATCTTTCCCAGCATTATTGCTTTTTCCAAAGAGTCCTCCCTTCTCATGATGTGTTTGAAGGACAACAGCCTCAGTTTGGTCATCTTGGCTTCCAGGGAGGTTTCTGCCTTGATCTGCTCTAGGACCCACTTGTTTGTCCTTTTGGCTGTCCATGGGATCCTCAGCACTCTTCTCCAGCACCACATTCTCTCAAAGGCATTGATTTTCTTCCTATCATCTTTCTTAACTGTCCAGCTCTTACATCCATATATGGTAAAAGGGAAGACAATGGCTTGTATGATTCTAATTTTTCTGCTGAGTTGTATATCTTTTCATTTTAGAATCTTTTCTAGTTCTTTCATAGCCACCCTCCCTATTCTTAGTCTGATATAATACAGGAAGAATTAAAAGCCCCACCTCCATATACATTCTCTGTATGCCCTGCTTAAGGAAGAGGATGGAGATATCTAGGACAGCAGTAGTTAGTTACAGTGTCAACAGAACCAGCTGGGAGCTTCTGACACTCTCCCCTATGTCAGTCATTGGCTATCCCAGCACATTGGGGGGGGGGGGAACCTGTGCCCAGCTAGCACAGGGTGCCTGTGTGCCTATGCTTGTGTGAGTAGGTAAGAGGGACCCCTTTGTGCAAGCTTTGAAAAGGTGCACTTATTTGTGGAGCTAGACTTTGTGCAAGGGGACTGAGCCAGCTGGATTCTTGCCACAGGCCTTAAAGTGCCAGAAGACTTTCTGCTGAATTTGGTCACAGAATCCTTGCTAGTTTCAGACCAGCAGTTGGGAGGGACACATGTAAGAAAGTGGGAGGCAGGTAGCTCATCTAGCCTCTCCATGTTCCTGAAGAACTTGTTTGCAGCCTCCTCTGCTCAGTTTCAAGATGCAGATCACAAGATGCAATCGCAGCAGCAAGAAAAAGAAATAGACGACCACTCCATAGCAAGCCTATCCCAGGTAATGATCAATATATGTCAGAAATAATAGTACGGTTGCTGGAGTGGCGTGTGGGTGTGCGGATGTATGTCTGTACCTTTTAAATA